TAATTAAAAATATAATGTGGATAGCCGAGTACTTTTGAGTATTGTTAAATATTTGATATCATATTTTGATAAATATCTGATTTTGGGGGGCTTTTTTGACCATGTTTGAATAATTGTTATAATATTGCATATTGATAACGACAGTGTAAAACGATTAATCGTAAAATAAATGTTGTTGTTTCGGCTGCAAACTTAACATTCATTATTGAGTAATAAAACACTAGTACCCCCGTATGGGAAATTCGAAGTGCAGACGTACTCTGGCGTCTTCATTCATTTGTCGCATAAATACTGTGATATTTTTTGCCAAACAGATCTAATAATTTATTTCAAGATGTAATATCATGAACAATTATGTAAATATGTTCAACAGTTCTCAATATGTCTTCATTAATGTTGCACTGTTTCTTGGACCTCGTTTTCTACTAACGTACAATATTTGGGTGTAAACATCGTACTTTGTACAAAAAATACTTTCGAAAAGTGTTATGTCATTTAAATGGCGTATATAGTATATCATACATACAAACCCGCGACATATCCTACTCCAACAAAATGTCAAAGTTATATTTCCACAGTCGTCACCAAGCGCGTGTTGTGTAAACAATGTATTTTAAACGCGTTGTACGTTGCATGAGAAGTCACTATACATTTACGTGCGACGGATCAAAGGACAAATTTAGTTATCCTGTTGTATAACAATCGTACATGCATAAACAAGGTAAAACTGTTGTTGACATCAATTGTTGATTCGTGAAGCTTAAAAGGCGGTGGTCGTCGCGCCGCGTCCTGTTCGATATGGGACTCATAACGACGTACACAACGCGTGTAAAATGCATTGTTTGTTTACATGAAATTCGAACACGCGCTGCGCGACGACTACCGCCCTTTAACATAGTAGTAGTTGGAGATATTAAATTCGTACTGTATAGGGAAGTTTGAAGTTAATTCTAATGACGTCATGGATTTGTTCATTGCGGTTCATGTCGATAAACCGTACAACAAGAAGAATATGTTGTTTCGTGTTACGTGCACGCGCGGGGAGGATAATACGACCTCGTACTCTCACCTGATATAATACACATTCTCTGTTACGATTATTTTCTAACTACAGGCAACTACTCTGACCCCCATGTTTGGGAGACACCGACCCTTTCATGGCAGCGTAATTTAAAGGCATTTTTTTCCGAAATGATTTATGTTTTACTTCACTCAAGCATGGCGACAGAGTACCTCCATGACCTAGGCCAGCCATACGTTACGTATAACAAAATAACAAAACTCTACCCAGTATTACGTCACTTTCCATTCACTAGAACATTGTACTGTCTATCAGTGTAGAAAACGTAAATGTCTAAATGTTATTGAAAAAACAGTACATCATCTTAATAGCAAATAATAATAATAATAATAATAATAATAATAATAATAATAATAATAATAATAATAATAATAATAACAAATAAAGCGAAGCCGCGATTGAGAATAAATTATAAATAAACTAGGTAGCCCTATGATATAATCGTTGTAACTGAGGTTATTGTCATCGACAGAGGTTGCGTTATTAGTTACGTGGACCACGGTTACTAAAAAAGTCTAGGGAGCGTGCGTGGACGCATTACTAATAGGGAATGTGTGGTTCCCTATGAATTCATTGTAAAGGGCATTTAGCTTTGTTTGAATTCCAATAAGAAGTAAACCTCAGATGTTTATTTAAAACCTCTTCGCTAATCGAGAATAATTAACAAATTCCAACAGTCATATATCACGTGACACCGTCATCAAAATCTCGAACCCGTTCGCGCGAGAGATTTTCTCGTGTTTTGAAAAAAACAGCGAGAGTTTATTAAATTTGAAAACAGTTATTCGGTATTTGTAAACTATACAGTTAAATACACTGCACTAACAGTTGAGAACCGGAAGTATCGTGTCTCTTGTGAATATACCACCGGGACACCGAACCCATCACCTTGAGGGGAAACTGCTCTATAGGTCGAAAAATTTGACCTCAGACGCAAACCGTCTTTGCATTCCGATTCGCAGAATTGGTAGCATATCAACAGAATCATATAAAATATGGACCTATTTTTTGTGAGACGTGTTACATTTTGTCTGATATAAATCGCTACATTTTAATGGATTACAGACGACTTTCTGAATACGTAGACATTATCGTATTTATTTCTACACTGTCATGTGGATGTCGATTTTTCACACAAGCTGGTGTTATTTTAATTCGTTTGACTTTTCAATAAGGGGCCATCTACAGAAAATGTTCCAAAATACTATATGCTAAACACACAAGTAATAAACTATTTTAAAAGAATAGTTATTCTTGTAAAATTTATCTGTCCACAGTCTCTAACTAGTTGTACATACATGATGGCTGTTGTTGATTTCGGACTGATGAAGGAAGTGTGAGATACAGTCCGGGGTTAAGTCTCAGGGCTAGATTTAAACTAACAATACGACGTCACGATCGATAAAGTAATATTTAATGCAACACAGTCCGTATATAGTCTATAGACTCTTTAGTGTATAGAGGGACTGTGATTGCAAAAAAAACTAGTAACGTAGCATATCACTGACGTGATTTTGTCAGATTTTTACTGAAGCTCAATTTCTATTAGGCAATCATATCGATCAAAACTAACTATTGAGAGGCGCAGAAAAACAGAGCGACCAATGATACAATTTGAGTGCTCCACCAATAGTAGACCCCCATTAAATTATAAGTGTCAACGGCGTGTCAACGATCATGCGCACTTCAGTTACTTATTGAATTGTATTAAAAAAAACAGATATTAAATTTTCATAACAGATAAGTGGTTAGATTATTTCAATAAATTACTTAATCGCCGAAAAAATGATAATACAGAAGACACTACATTATATAGTGATATAAAATAAATTTAGAAATGAATTAACATGACATGCTCAGCTACGATGATCACATTTTGAAAACTGAGATTCAATAAGCAATTAACCAGTTGAAAAAAATAAGGCAACGTCAAATAACAAAATGTCAAATAATCAGTTCTAATGTGACGTGTCGTGCCTCATAAACTCAATACACAAATTGTTCATCGTCATTTATACAGTCATGAAAGAAATAGCCAGAAACAGATCCAGAGAGTTCCGGTTTAATTGCGGCAATTCTAAAATCTCGGTCAAAAACAAATATATCAAACTATGGGAGTATTGCGATATAAAGCTGTGAAAAATGTTGGAAAATTATTTACAAGTATACTAAACCAAAGAATTACATCATAATCTAGAGAATAATAACACCATAACAAATAATCAATTCGGTTTCAGAAAATGTTGACATACAAACTTGTTTATTCTTAAAACAATTAAATAAATACGTGCACCACGGCACTGACTCTGTTCCCAAAAGACGTTTTGTTTGATTTGTATATCTGATGAAAGCGTTTGACAGTGTCTGGCATGGATGTTTGTTTTCAAAAAAATGTGACAGTTAGGCGTGCAAAGTAAAGTGAAAGTTAGTTGTGGGTTATCACCGTGACAGTCCGGTCACTGGTAGCATAGCGGTTGTTGCACCAGACTCATGTTCGGTAGACCCAAGTTCAAATCCTACCTTAGGCTGAACATCAAAGGGTCGACCCCTACTCTGGGTGTGTGTGCCACAGACTCAATGGGAAGGCCAATTCCACTGGCCGAGATTCATTCACTAACGAATGCGACTTTGGGGGAACCTTGGTTAAGATCCGCAGATGCTTGTGTTCGACCGGGCCTGGTTGACACCAGGATAGCGCATTACAAATTGCCATTTGACAGAGAGATGGCCATACAGCCCTGTCATGTAGTCCCAAACATGAATATGACTTCTGTGGCAAAATGCACTATGTTTCGTCACTAGCACTTGCAATTTGCACATACAGAAAAAAAGTCAGGAGAGACAACAGTGACACTCAATGTCCGGAACTGTCGCCTGGCACAAAAAAATATTTAAAAAAAAAAACGTGACAGTCATTCTTATCAAACAAGAAAGTAACATTAACTGCCTTCTATATGCAAATGACATTGTAATTATTCATGAAACAAAAACAGGAATACAAAACAGACTGTCTATCTTCGTATACAAGAAATGGGAAATTTCTGTTAACACATACAAAAGAATAGTCACGATATTTAATAAAAATAACAGATTATTAAGGAAAAGAACTTGATATTATAATAGTGAAACAATTCAACTATCTATGAATTTAAGCGCGAATGTAAGTTTAAAGAAAAAACTGAAAAGCTTAAAAAGAAAAGACAAATAAACCTATTTGCTCATATTATCAATAAATCTGATAAAAATAGCTCGAATTACGCAATACTGCTGTTACCGTGCGTGATGATCACGTTATTCTGTACGAATACATTCTCTGGCTGCTGTTACAATCATTAAAATAGACCACCATGCCGAACCCTGTAGATACTTAAATATCGTATATTTGTTGAAAATATCACATAATATGTATACAAGTCTATCCCATTGCTTTACCATTACTGTATCTGTTGTGCACTAATCAATTATTGTTCTCTTTCGAGTCGGTCTCGGAGCATGGAGCTAAAAAAGAGCTCCATGGTTGGAGCTACATACGTCCATTATTGTCTAATTTTAGCTGATTCACAACAATCATACTTAGAATTACTGTAGAATTCCCAAGTTATCCTCGCACCGGTAGTCGGTGGCCCAGTCCGTGCATTTGATGTGTCGTAGACTAGACTCCGTACTGCACAGTATCAGTCAACGCCGTCTGGCATGATGACACCCAGCCCAGCTTGCATGACATGCTGTCTCAAGTTCCGTTCAGTTCGGAGATTTACGAGAGCCGAGTGACATCTGTTGGACAAGTACTATGCATTTCAATGAGCAAGGAAGCATGGTGTCAATGTCTCACTCTCCACCGCGAGCGTAAGAAAACACCCCGACAAACACGTTCCGAGCTATCATATGATCACCCCAATCTATCATATTTGTTTCTCAGATGGCTCTCGACAACCCTACATACGACAACCCGGGTGTAGATAGTCCGATGCAGAACGGTCTCAGTGACAGTCTAGATCCTGTCTACCAGTACTGGACACCGAAAGGAGACGTCAAAACAAGACAGTTCCAACTTCACGGTAGATCCGCGCAATATGAAGTGGATACGAAGTCATCAAAAAGATCTACACTGATAACCGGCATTGTGCTGGGTTCAATTGCTATTATCGTTGGGATATCAGTAGGGTTAGCTATATACTTTATAGGTAAGTACACATACTAGTCTCACGCTGCGCCAAGCAACAGGTAGATCTACAATAACCTAACTTACGATAATTTGAGTTGATATTAATAGTACGTTTTCGTATTGATCGTTTTCGTGATTGTCGCTAAAGTTGTCGTGCAGGGCGCGTTCCAATCCTATGTCAATAATGTTTTGTACACACGTTGTATGCGCCACATGAAATCGACGAGCTGGAATTTCTTAATTTATTCTTATGTCTATAAGGTGAGTGCTGTTGGGTTTTTTTTTTGGCATATATGTGACAACTGCACGAACAATGACCCCCAGTTCGTACGTTGTTAAACAGCGTGCACATACTGCGCCGCTCTCTCGGAAATGCGTTTCCCGATTCTTGTTAAAATAGGTTAAATGAATGTAATTCTGCGAAAATGAGTAAATAATGACCACGCCCATGTTTGTTCAGATATACCGCATATACCATTCCTATCAGTGTTTCCGTTACGTCAATAGGTGTGATGAAGGTCGTTCACGGCGTCGATTTTTTTTTTATTTGTAGTCGCATATTAACAAATAATGCTTTATCGGAATTGTCTATACGTCGTAGCTAGAGGGCGCCGCGACTGTAGTGAAATTTGGACCGTTGCTCAAAAAGGATGAGTACCATTGTAAAGTTCACAGGACAAACTCTAGATAACTTTTTCACAAGAATCTTATCTAAAAATGGGCGTGGTCATTCAGCAACGTTAACGACACTGCTATAGATTCTAACTCAACACGGAAATCAAATACAACTCTTTTGTAAACACATTTATTTATGCTTTCCACGTAACGCTTTAGTAGAGTTGCAATAACAACAATTGTTAAAGCCTTCCGCATACTCAATGTTCTGCATTTCTCTTCTTTATGTTTTGCCGACAGCTTTTTATGAGTTGTTTCAAAAACTTTTTGGCGATTGTTCACCTCTTACGCTTATACCTTACATGTACCATATACGGACTATGCATGTACTTAAGGTAGCGGGACTATTATTTGCATACGTGTTTTCATCCTCTAATTGTGATAAAATGACTACAAATAGACCCAGGAAAGTGTATATTTTTGGAATCGCCAGACTTCAAGCTATTCACAAGTGTATTTT